ACAAACAAATTTTGTACGTTAAATTTAAAAACTTTACCGCCAAAATGCAGCATAAAAAAGATACATTTAAACAACTGCATTTTACAAAATCATTATCAGTATAAAAATCTTTCTGCACTGTTAAATTGCTATCAATAATAAATTAAAGTTAATTGCTAATATTCACATTGATGAATTTAACCAAACGATGATGAAAATGTAGATGGAAATTCTGATAATGATAATGGAGGAGATACCAGTGCTGCGAATGCCAATAACTACACCAAAAGCGCATTCAAAAAGTGCATAAAAAAGTGAAGATACTGAATGCTGTAAAGGCGGAACAATAAACAACGAAAGGGGAAAACAAACAAACCGAACCGAACCAAACCAAACCAAACAGAACCGAAGCACTAATTACTAACAACTGAGCATGAAATTGCAATCAGCAAACTTTATCTTCATCAACTCATTTCAGTTTGGTTATTTATATGTGATTTTTACTTTTCAATCAGACAGTCGAGCTGGCCACAAATGCCACCAACAACTATTGAAACACCAACACCGACCATTTCCATGCAGCAAATGCTGCATTGCTGCATTGCTTCTTTGCTTCTTAACTTCTTTGGTCCATGGTACTACTGTAGTCGCATTAGCGCGTTTGCGTTGTGAAGTGCTCTTGAGTGAGTATTTAGCGTTTGCAATTTAATGCTTCAACTCTGACGCCATTCTGGAAAGGATCCTGCCTCGTCATTACACAAACAATAGCTTTCAGATAAGAATATTTTCCTTTTGCACGTATGCACATATGCACATTTGTGCTCTATTCCAGCGTGCAGCATGCGTTTTCGGCATTAGTGCAACTAAGCACAAAGTTAGCAGTTTGAATAGAAAAATTGTATTAATGATACTATTGAACCCTTTAGCACTTTAATCACACAACAAGCATTTACGTTCTGTTCGTACGTTTTTGTGCGTGCGTTTAGTGAAGTGCATAGACAAAGCTAGAAGCGGCTTACACGAAAGTGCAAATATTGCACGTCAAAACGTGATTATGCACAATGGCTTGCAACACAAACTATAATAGATGTTGCACCAGTAAAGTGCATGCAATATCGTGTATTTTTAATCGCCTCAACTACTCGACCGAGATAAGATCTTAAATGATTGTTTTTGAGTACATAAAAAGTGGGTTTCCAGCAGATGGAACAACTTGTACTAGAATTAACAGAATTGCAAATAAGTAGTCTCGTCTCTTAACTGACGATACAATGTCTGTCTCAGTTTTTGCTTTGAAAAACATTCACCATATTTTCAAATAGATTTGAATAAACAATTGGAAATCAACAGAAAATCTAAAGAGAACTATTTGTTTCCTACATATAAATGATAGCATTATAATGAGAGTAACTTCGTGTTTCATGGATCACTTACAATATGTAATCATGAAGTATGAATCATTTTGAAACAACTAGAAGACAATTTAAAAAACAGTTTTGATCTTAATTAATTTAAGTCCTCAACTAGTATTAGAAGAGGCTTAAATAATCCTGCAAAATTGAAATTTCTATTATTATTATTTGATATATATATTGTTTGATATATATTTATTGATATATTTGGTTTGTTACTGGCGAAGCACTGTCTAATGGATAGTCATGTCTTTCAGTGACTGCTGTTGTAGCTGTGAGTTGGAGGAAAAACACAAAAATGTCAGTCATTTGTTTTCTCATTACCGGGCACTCGCAACAGATCTTTCCGCTTTTAAGTCACCTGCTACAAGTCACCTAAACTTCTTCTGAAACTATTTCTGTGGATGACCCACTCCTAAAGTGCTTGTTTGGCTTAAGCTCTTTATAAAACGGTGATATGTTTAGAGAAACGAGCTGCCACTGGTATCTACCACATACCAACTAAGGTATTTGAAGGCATTCCATTAGCATTGTGTACTACAGTGCTTTTTTTAAAGAAAAATATATTTTATAATATGAAAGTTGATTTTCTACAAATCAGTGGCTAAGTTATACGAAAATTAGTATCTGAATTAGTATATAAGAAATCTTGACCCCTTGCAGTAGAAAGCAATATATGTTTTTAAAGCACTCTCATGGTGAATATTGGGCACTATCCGAAATAGTGAGTATTCATTGTCCGCTAATTTTTTGTTCGTATAGAGAAGGATATTCAGCCAGAAGGTTTTCCCTTAAAACGACGCAGTGGTATCCTGCTCCTAAGTAAGTGTTTTTATATTATAATTAAATATCTAAATTGGAAAAGTTATCTACCTAGAAGGGGTGTCCATTCAGCAAGGCTACTCGATAAGAGGTTTTTCGTTGTATATATTTCATCCTTCGCGAGAAGTGTTTCTTCTCTCTCCTATTTGGCTCATATCTTCAAATCAATTTTCTTAAATTAAATTATTTTCCAATATTTTAGTATTTCTGGCATAAATAGTGAGCGAAAAATTAAGTTAGATTTATTAACTCTTGTACTGAGAAGTTGACGAATTATATGTGTCCAAACATAATTTCTATTTCAATGCTCTATTTTGAATATAGATTAATATTAATTAAAAAGTCTTATATAGAGATCATTTTCACAATTTTTGATACAAAAATAATTTATTTGGTATGAAATATTATTAGAAACAAAACAGTCTGAACCAGAAAATACTGAAAGGGGGTTATATATTTTCCATAATCTTTAATCTATGTTAGACAATATTTTTGCCCATAATATTTTTCAATCCTTCATCCAAAACTAAAAACTGACTTAATCCAGAATAATGTTTCCATATCCATGGATACATAAAAATTTCACTTTGAAGTTAAACAATCAAATCCATTTCAACGAATCAGCAATTTGTAAGGTTTCCCTGGTTACAGCTCCTCCAGCGCCTACTCGTAACATCTGCTGGATCAACATAAACAGCATGAACGGCATAACCGGCATGAACAGCATGAACAGCGTAAACAGCTTTAATCAATATTTGTATGTGCTCTCAGGCATGTTCATGGAAAAGAACAGATATGTTGTGTTTTCTGAACACCGAAACTGGTTGGAGTTGTTGGCTGCAGTGAAAAGGTCTGACAATTCGCCAACCGAAAATATTAACTGCAGCTTAAGATCTGTTGCGCTTAACCATCACAATGACTTAGAGACGAACTTGTGTATGCCTGACGGCAGAAATGTTTGGTTTTGGCCATATTTTAAAGCCAGTCGGTCGGTCATGTGCAAATAGCTGAATAGACGTTTGTTTGTGTGTGCGTCGGTCAATAAAATGTGTCAAGCTCCATTGATTTTCTTGCATTCAGTGAAGTTTGTTTTGGTTGTGCTTTCTCATGGTTTCCTTTCATGAATAAGTGGGTTAGCTCTGCTTGGTCTGCCTGATTGGTTACACATGCACAAATAAAAATCTTTAGTTTTTCATTTCATGAGGTGCTTTTAACTTGACATTGAAATTTTACGTTTTAAGTCGAGCAGAAAAGAAAAATTATGCAGAAAATAAATTTCATAAGAAAATGTAAGATGGAAAAATGAATAATGAATTGAATTGCTTTGAATGGGAAAATACTTCATTGCCGGATTAAGGCAGCAGTAAAGTTTTCTTACTGATTCGTTTGTTAGACATGGGAAAAATTCGTGCTTAGAAGTCTGCTTTGCACAAGAGAGGACAAGCTTTGTCAGTTGATCAGATAAAATATATTTTCCTTATTCAGCTAAAATTGATTTATGCTGGTTGGTAATGATAGACAAGCTACTTTAGATTATTAAGAGTTTCATGCACAAACCAATAATCATTAAATATTTATTGGCAGCCAGTACTATGGCAAACGAATATCAATCTCTGTCAATGTTGATAAAATTAATAAAATATTGCCTTTCTTAAGTTTAAGGCAAATACCAATACGAATACAAATTTATTTATGCAAATGTATCTGTAGAGCTGGAATTTCGTTGATTACTACTTAGCAATTTGTAATTACTAACTTTCTCATTGTTTTCTACTTTGCTTGAAGCGCTTTAAAGTTTCTGAAGCAATAAACTTAAGTATTTTAATGAGAAATTTTTTCTATCATAAAGACGAGAATGCAAATATGAAGTCCGACAGTGACAAATTTACAGCAAATTCTTCTTTTAATCGCAAATCAGGCAAACTAAGTAGTAGGCACGATTGGTTGTCTGTGCCCATATCTCACCGATAGATCAATAATGAAACGGAATTAAGTTCCTTAAAGACATTACGACTGTACACCTTACTTTAGATGTATGTGACATTAATATTAACAAGGTTTAGTTAGTTAGTTAGTTGTGTTGGAAGAAGGAACAAGTTCTCCTCAATTAGCTAAAAAAACCATTTAGGATCCACAAATCCTCGTAATAGTGGATAAAAGAGAGACGGTCAATCTAGAACCAATTAAAGGCATTTATTAACGCAAGAATCTGGCCAATGCTAATGCTAGAGATATCGTCAGGTGTATTGAAGAAGAGGGTCTCCAGAAACTTACGCCGAGTTCTGACCAAACCTGTACATAAACACATCATGTATTCTGGTGTCCTTTCTGCGAGAGCTGGTAGACACGCATTACAGGAGATACCACTCAGAGTTGGCCAAGTCCATGCCGTTCCATGCCGTACTACGGTTTAATGCCCTGTAAAGATAGATATTAACCTAAATACCTCTGATTTTCTTATGCGTTTTAAGTCAGAGGTGCTACATATGGAATAGATTGACCAAGTAGCTCACGACATGGCTGTTGAGGCGGCATTAACAACATTTAAGTCTTCAAGGAATTTGGGACCGTACATTTTATTTAAGAAACACACTATATAACATTTGTTCAGTCTCTAAAAAACTGATAGTCCGAAAATTTCTTAAAGATTTGGACCAAAGCAGTGTAAATAATACTTAAAATAGTTTACCATAATTTCGATATACAATATTAAAATCAATATATTATCATATTTTCTTCCAAAAACCATATAAAATAAAATATTTTAAATAAAATTTAAAAACTTTGTTACTCACCATCATCTGGTGGTTGTTCGTTTTTGATTTGTTTGTTGCCTGCTATAAGCTTGCCGCGTTGTACTTTCTCATTCGGATGTACTACGACATTTTTTACAACTGATTCATCACCATCGTTTATGTCATTATTAACAGCAGCACCAGCGTTATCGTCATCATTATTAAAATCACCTTCTTCCAATTCATCCGGTTGTTCAATGGGAACGTTTTCATTACCACGACGATGATGTTTGCCAACGTTATCAATACCTCTTTCATCACGATTATTCGCATCAATAACTGATTCAACAATATTATTGCCAGCTCCACCATTGAAGCTATCACCATTCGCCATATCGCCTATATTGCCCGCTCCGGAGTTGCCACCAGCACCGATTCCTTTGAATGACAACGACATCGCATTCCATTTGCTATTCGATTGACTTGAATCATCGGTGTATATGAGAAATGCGCCGGTGAACCAAATTGCTGCTAAAATTGCGACAATTTTGAGGATTGAAGTTGAACGGCGACGCCATATGAGAGCCATATCGACTAATGTGTGTATGTGTGGTTACGTATGTGTGTGTCCTTAAATATATAAAATCACAATAAAATGGCACTACTGCAGCACTTGCGGCAAAACAAATCTGCTCGTGTTGATATATTTGATTTGTTTGTTTATGTGCGTTTGAGTGCGCCTTATTTATATTTAACAGTTATATTAACGGTAATACTTGTGTTTGCGTATTTGATTGCTTGTGTGTTTGTGCTAACGTTATTTGGCAATTATTTAGTTGTGCAATTGTTTGTTGCATAGTTTTAGGCTAATGCAATTACGTTAACATCGAAATGAAGTCCTTCTGTTGTGTTTGCATAATAGTGCATTTAGACCGCCATTCAATTAACTGCTGTTAAATATTCTATTGATTAGCCTTAAGTCCCTTTGTTACGGAAATTCCTTTTTAAGTAATTTATGATCATTAAGTATTTAGTATTGATATGTATTTTGCTTGTTTGCTTGTTTGCCTGACCTTTTCAAATTAAAGTCGGTTTGTGACTTAATTTGGTTGACTTTTGTTCCTTTAACGGATATGTTAATTTTTAAATCTTGATCTTAAATAAGATACTATTTTTGTGGTCTACTTAGTAATAATACTCTATCGGTCTAAGTCCTGTTAAGTTGTATAAATTATGTCCCAAAACCGGCAGCTGAAATAAGAAATCAAAATGTATTGTTAATAAACGTTTTTATTTTGTGTACTATTAATATTTATATTGTGATAAGAATAAATTAAAGATTTTTAAAGCCTTATGTTACTATCATATATTTATTAATTAATGCTGCGAAAATTGAGATAGGTTTCAAAAAATAATATAACATAATAATACTATAGTATAGTAGATAGTAGAATATCATAAAATTTTACCATTATTGTAATAGTTTGATCTAATTACGTGTATCAATACTACAATTTACATAAAATTATATAAAAGTGATTTGAAAACTTAATATGTCTTACTAACTTTATCATTATTGAATTACATTACTACGAATATGATAAAAAAATTATACAAATACTTTTAAAACACAATTAGATAGTTAGTATTGCATATGGAGAAAAATATTAATACATGATATGTATGTACTTAGCATAATAGCAGCTATTGTTGTCATATTAGTTAAAATAATTTATCATATAACTATATAGACTCATAGATATACATACTTTACCTACTCGTATATAACCGTGAACGCATCAGCAGCACTTATTCCATTATAAACAAATGCTCTATAATAATCTATAATAATTTACAGCCTTTTTTTCTACAAATTATCATATTATCTTTGTTTTGATTTGCCATAAAAAGCACACAATTTGCAAGGTTCGTATTTTATAGCTCAACTGATAACAAAAACACAGCGGAAACTAACTAAATTTATCTATTTAATAATTTTTTTACGATTATAAAAATTAGTGCAAGGAACCGTAACTGAGGCGTGTGTGGAATTAATTATTATTTATAGACAATATGAAATGTGAACTGGAAAAAATTAAAATTTTATCTTAAAAGCGTAGAAACACTTTGAAATATATA